TCGATAAGGCTGGGAGATTTCCTGCAGCCCTCTGTCCCCTCTCTCTACTGCGCACTGCATAGCTGCCGCAGCCGCTCGCCTGCCTCGGTACCCAAGGTCCGGGGGTTGAGAAACTGGGGCCCGTCGTCCTCTTCTAAGGTTCTCAATTCTGCATTCAGGCTGGGCTCCAGCTGGGACCAGCAGAGGAGGTTCTCAAGTAAACCAGTGAAATACAGTTTTCCCTCTTTCGGTTGTTTAATTTAAATGCAACTTCCCTTGGGAACATTTTCCTGGACGTTAACCGCCCCACCTTGAGGTGTCGCTGATGACCTAGCGACCCAGATGGTGCGTTCGTCCCAGCAAAGTTTACTGCTGGTTATTCTCACTCTTGACGTTGCATATACAAATACAGCTCTCCGTGTATATCTCCACCCTCATCTCTCTACAGACAACAAACCCACCGACCTTGTGAAAGCCCTAGGGGTGATGCATGACCACCGCGTCTCTGTCCTGACAGGGGCTTGGCCTCCCCCGCCTGCTAGTTGCCAGAACCAGTTTTGCAGCCCAAATAGACAATATCGTACGGCTTATCATGGCCACGGGCCTCTGTGATTTCGGTACCAAGAAGAGGAACAGAGGAGCCCCCGCCTCCCCCAGGCAAAGCTCCTCCAAAGCTGGAAGAGCGCTCTGGTCAGAGAAGGGGCTTCCGGGTTCCAGGTTAAAACAAAAACAAGAACAAACAAACAAACAAACGAAAGTCTACGACAGACACGCCTGCTCATGACCCCACGCGACGAGATGGGAAGTTGGTCGCCTTCTCCCTGCGGTGATAGCCGCCTGCCGGCCGCTCGGACCAGGTCACACGCACGCCCTGGTTGGAGGCAGCGCTACTGGCCTCGACAGGCAGCGAGGACTCCAGACCCCCGCGCGTGCGGTTCCGAGGCCCGAGAGGCGGGCGCCCGTAGTCCTCCGAAGGCTCCGCTCTAGCTCCAGGAGCAGGATGCCCCAAAGGGTCTGGCGGCGTGGAGGAAGCCGCAAGGCCGCGAGTCCCGAGCCGAGAGTGCGGAACTGGGTCCTGCCGCCCGGCTCCAACGCGCGCCGGCGCCGCCAGCCGCCCCTCCTCCCCGCCGCCCGCACAAATCAAAGCCCCTTGCGAGGGACCGGGAAATAGTTGCCTTGTCATGTAACACATTGCCCTGATTTATTATAAAATTTTAACGAAATCATGCATATTTTAACAGCCTTTAATCACTGCATGAAAATTTAATTCATGGACTGTAGCGCGTTTAAATAAATGAAGTGTTAATTCATTAGGATTAATTAATTTGTTAAAGGATTGTGTGCAAGGTTAAGGTGGAAAGAAAACTCTTTGTTGGTTTCGCGTCTTAATCGCCAGGTTTCACGAGTGGTAATAAAATGAAAGGAAACCGCAGAGCCGGCTGTTGGGGTGGGGCCTGGGCGGGACCCGCTGAGAGCGCCCAGAAGCACGCGGAAAGCTCCCGCTGGCAGGGCAAGGGCGGGTCTGTGCTCCCAAGACTCGGAGTCCCGGTACGGGACGGGTAGAAAGGTTGGGGAGAGCGGGCACTGGAGGCGGGAATTCCAGAAGGCCGAGTTCGCTGGAATCCAAGGAAGGGAAGGGGGCTCAGAGCCAAGGCTGGCGGGCCAGAGCGCTCCTCCCCGCCCCGCACACAAATACGACCCCGAGGGTGAGGCGAGGTCGTCCCTGCCAGTCCTCAGAGGGCCACGCCTCATCTTAATGGAGAGATGATGGGCCAGCGCCGGCCACCGCCTAAGCCTTCCAGCGCCGGGGGAGCCGCTGTCTCGCCATCAGGCCGCCGGCCCAGGCGGCTAGGGCAAGCCCGAGAGCCTCGGGGGATTCTGAGAGGAGGCGGAGCAAAGCCAAACTCAGGCTGGAGCAATCCGGGAAATCTTTTTTCAATCAGGAGCCCTGATGTTAGGGAATGGTTTCTTCAGCACCTCTTCTGAGACAGCAGCTAAATAGGCGTGCCCACCAGCATACCCTCAGCTCACAGAAAAGACGTCCTCTTCCGCCCCGAACTCTTATTCATCCTTCAAGACCCAGTACCGAATAACACCTCGGTGAAGCCACCAGACGTCCTCAGTGCTCCACGCTATCCCCAACAGGGACACTTTTCTACTTACAAATGTTGTCAGACTCAAAATGGATCAGAATTACCTCCTCCCTCCTCACGGTCTCAGTAATGATGCCTGCCCTTGGGAAAAGGATCTTTACATCCCCAAATTACAAACGTCAGACAAGGCCCACGCTTCTACGCACTTGTTTACCACAACTAACATTTATTAGAGAGGGTCTGCTCCCTTTCAGACACAGCAGACCTAGGAATCTACCTCGTTTCAAGAAGTGGAGCTGTGACTGGAGGCATTCTAGACCGCCTCAGTCATATAAAACTGAAGATCTCCCGAGCTTGCGCTCCAGATGGGTTCTTAAAAGAAATCTGCATCTTAATAGATGCTTCCTCACTCAGAGTGGGGTTCCGAGAATTAGGCAATAAATGTTCACTATGCACTCTGAGAGCATTGCTTAAAAGGTTTTCTCTCTGCCAACTATTATTAAAGGAATCAGGTTACATCGTGATAGGCAGAGGCAGTGTTGTAGGACTCCCACAAATAGGGATGAAAGACCTTATGAAGCTTTGGAAAACCCTTCTAATCTAATAAAAAGCACATAAACAGTTAATCTCAGTTTGATGTGCTCTACGAATATCATCCACAGGTAAAAAAGAGGGGAAAATCTAATGTATGTATTACACTTTGAATAATTGAAAACCATTCATGTATATAGAAACAAGAAGTTCCTGAAACATCATGGTTCAAGATCAAATTCTTCTCTTGTTCAGTAGTTCCAAACCAACGTAGACGACAAAATGATAGGAAAACAAAGCAGATTTGAAATTAAGGGACTGTAAGTCTTAGTCTACGATCTTCAGTTTTTATGTCAGCTGACTCAATAAAATAGGAAAGACTTGTCATTTTGGATGAAGATTTTTAAAAGTACTAAAAGTCATGATAAAAAAAAAAAAACAAACCCGTAGCATCCTGTCACATTTCTGTAGCCATTTTAGAAAGATGAATGGTCAAAATTTGTTTTTCTAAAAATATGAAGTGCCTGCTTTCTTATCATGAGTGCATCTTTTTCTAACATAGCCTTAGTGAAATTAACCAATAGGAGGTTAAATTAATCTAAATATTAGAGTTAATTTGAATCTTTAAGTGGCACACACACAACTCCCATCATTGAGCTTCTGTTTAGTAGGATCAGACCCAGGAACATAGGCAGGAATTAAATGCTACATGAAAAGTAACATGCTAATACTTCCAAAATACTACTTTAAAAAGAATCCTAGGAAAAGTTCAAATCCGTTCATCCTTAGGTCTATGAATGTGAACTCTCACACTTGGGAGAAGAGCACAGGCTCTGGAGTCACAGACCCACCTCCAAGATATGGTTCTACCCAATTCCAGCTGTGTGATCACTAATCCTCAATTTGCTTTTTTGTAAATTGAGGATAACTGTATTTGGTTCACAGCATTTTAAAAGGGGATTAGATGAGATAGAGATTAGTTTAGTAAAATACCTGCTCTCAATAAGACATTGTTTTGTTTTTTGTTTGGAGTATGTATATGTAATAGGTGTAATTTAAAATCTATGAGACCATGATATTTGTCTTGACATTAGATTATGGGAATGTGGTAGAGCAAAAATGACAATGTATGAATAAAATTAAATCCTGCAGATTACCTTTAACTGAGGAATGGCACAGGTTCAGTGAATATATGAAGTATCTAAGGAGGATGGAGGGACCTTTCTGAAGATAAGCAGCTGGGAAATATTTTCGTCCAATATTGATGCTCTCACCCATGTTTGTCATTAGTAAATGAGGTTACACACTCCAGATACCCATGAAACCATGTCAGGATATATTTGGATTAAAAAGACACATCTTTGGTTATAGACAAATCTAGAATGAGGTTTACCCTTTGTCTTAGTCTGTTTGGGCTGTTACAATACCTTAGACTGGGTAATTTTTAAACAATAAAAATTTATTTCTCACAGTTCTAGAGGATGGGAAGTCCTATATCAAGGTGCCAGCATATTCAGTGAGGGCTTGCTGTTTCAAACATGGTGACTTCTAGCTGTGTCTTCACATAGAAGGGGCAAGGAAGCTCTCTCAGGACTTTTATAAGCGCGCTAATCCCAGTAAGGGAAAAGAGCCCTCATGACCTAATCACCTCCCAAAGACCCCACCTCCTAATACCATTACCTTAGGGGTTAGGTTTCAACATATGAATTTGGGGGACACATACATTTAGACCATAGCACCCCTAAATCTACCTTGTGACAGAAAAATTTTTGTTTTCTGCATTCTATTGAGTTTCTAATGTATAACCATATTATCAAAAATATTTAAACTGCTAATAGCTCTGAAAATATCCATTAGTTTTAATATATCATAAAGATAAAATAATAAAAAATTATTGGAAAATATATATGACAAAATAAAAGCTATGCTTTAAATTAGCCTTTATTACTTCTGAAAGTGGAGGACATGATTCCCCAAATCATAAAAGTAATTCATTATACTTTTATGGTTTCATTGAATCCTCCAGAATCTGTTATAACAAGGGTCAGCAAATTTTTCTGTAAAAGGCCAGATAATAAATATTTTAGGTTTTGTAGATAATTCATAAACAAATGAGTGTAGCTGTGTTCCAACAAGACTTTATTTAGAAACACTGAAATCTGCATTTCATATCATTTCCCTGTGTCATGAAATATTCTTCTTTGGAATTTAAAAAACCATTTAAAATGTAAAAACTATTTTTTTGTTCACAGGCCTTTCAAAAACAAGTGCAGGTCAGATTTGGTCCATGGGCCACAGTTTGCTAACTTCTGTATTATAAAATCAATTTAAAAATGGTAAGTTTTCTGGTCTTTATCTGAGACAAGGAATCATCATCAACATCAAAAAATACAGTGTTTATGACATCTTTTATTCAATTCACATAGAAAAGCATGCAGTATTAATGTAAAACAGTATGGTATTAATGTAAAATGTTCAGTGCACATTAGATAAAGTCATTAGCATACAGACCCATTTTTAAAGGCTTCTATAGGCATAACAAACATGTTTAGAATAATATACTTTTCCAGAACCTAAATTAAAAATTGTGCTTACCTCTTACCTATCTTCACCCCCTCAATATTCTTCATGAAAAAAAAAAAATTTTTGTTCTATATAAAAGATACTCTATTAGCCACCTGAAATTTCTTTAAGTATGGAAAACACAGCAAGCAAAAATGCTACCATGCATACACTTTCCACAAAGAACAATAACATGCAATAAAGAACTTTATCATTCCGAAAAAAAAAAAAAAGGAAAAAAAACCTCCCCTGGGATATAAGTGGATCAAGAACTTGGTAATGAGTACTTCTGCACCTCTACATCTGGAATAATGAAGCTAGGATATTTATGCTCCTTTAAACACAACTGTTCCATGCCTTCTTTCTAAAGTATGCTCAATTTCTGATTTTAAACACAAGGATGAGCAAATATGTTACTTGACATAAAACGAATATTTTCATATAGTAAATGTATTCTTTCACACTAGCAGAATGTTTTCACAAAAACTGTACAAAGCATAATGTTAGAAAAAATGCAAACATATACATAAAACCTAAAAAAAAAAAGGTAAATCAATATTGGACTAAAGTTAGAGTGCTTTTTCTCCATCATGGCCTTGAATAAAAGTTAAGCCATCACTAAACATAAATAAAAAGGGGCAGGCAAAATAATTTCCACCCTAGGAAAAGCTTTAAAGAAACTCAAGTGTTTTGTGAGCAGTATGTAAACAACATTAAAAGTTTTATTTAAGAAATCCAAATTCTGAAGACAACTGAGGCTTAGTAACAGGCCACTGTATTTAACAGTTAAATAAGATTCAAAAAAAACCAAAATACACCCAACCCAGATACATATAAAACTCATTACAAAAAACAAAAGAAACAAACAAAAAACAAACTAACAACAACAAAAAAACACACCCCTCTCCCTAACTTCTCTGATTTAAAAGATCCTCCCCCTCCATCCCCCTCAAAAGAATGTCTTCTATTTTTTCTCTTAAAAGTCTTTTCAAAATGAACCAAAGTATTCTGGGTACAGGTTAATCTACCATTCTGACTTGATCCTTGACTAAAGATTATCAATTCAAAAGTGTATAGAACTTTTATGAGGAGAAAAACTTTTATATTTCTCTCAGGACAAAAACACAAACCACAACTTTCTAATAAGTTAACTTTTAGTTGCTTTTGATGGGCTGGCACTGGAAAGGCTGCTCTGGATTTTTCTTTTCGTTGACTGATTCACATTTTTATTTCTCTTTTCGGGCACAAAGGAAGTAGACCAAGGAGACTGAAGGTGGTTCTGAAGACTGTGCATCTCTGAGGACATCTTAAACAAAGATGACCCAAACCTTTGATCTTCAAATAGTCGATGTGAACTGCTTAACAAAACACCCTGGGAAAACTCTGTTTGAAACAAACAGCTTGGAGGTTTGGCTTCATTAGTTCCTGGATTAGAACTAGGATGGAGTGAAAACTCTTCATTCATTTCTTGGTCAGATGGAGATAGGAGAAAAAAAGAGGTGGGTTTCCATTCATTTCCATTTTCTAACTGATCAGTAGCAGTTAGAGAATCTTTGGAAAGGCTTAGCTTAGTTGTTTCTTCCAACTTAGCAGATTCTTCAAGAAATTCACTGCCTTGAGATGACTTTGACAACCCATCCAAATCCACTGACTTAAAACCATTATTGCAAGGGCTTTTGCTGTTGTCTGACTCTGACATCATTGAATCCAACTCAGAGATTTTGTCAAGGTAAGCAGCATCCATGGATGCTTCGCTAGATGTTCTTGTCCGATTCATTTCAAAAGAGCGAATAGAATTCAACCTCTTGGATAAACATGAGCCTGGTTTCTCACCCAATTTTGAAGGTATTTCTCCAACAGAATTTGCTATCGTGTTCCCCTCTGAACTTTCAAAATCCAAGCTTTGGGCATAGCTTGTAGAACAACAGTCCCAAAATCCTGTCTTTGGGGAAGTAAAACATTCTGATTTCTTTTCATTTTCATTTCTACTTATATCATCTTCTGAAGAATCTTTATTAGAAACATTTGAAGAATCACAAAAATCATCAAACACCAGTTTTCTGAGATGGTTTGAGTGCTTTTTGGAACCTCCAGCTTTGACCATAGAGCTCTCTCTATTTTCTGGAGTATTAAGCTGAAGGCAACTAAGGGACAAAGGAGTACAAGGCGCTGCAAGATCATAAAGTTCTTCATCTTTGTAGGGTACACAATCACTTGGTTTATTACCCCACTCTCTTTCCAAATAAGTATCCATACTTGTATCTGTCACATCTAACATGATTTCTACCCGTTTCTGATATAGGTCTTTGTTCTTAGAACAATTTAGCTCTGTACTGCTGGTGCTTTCCTGCCTGGAAGAACGGGTGTCAGAGAGTCTGCTGCTGGGGGGCTTTGCCAGGTGAGAAGAACTCGAGGTGGATGAGCAAGGCTGCTTACTGGCACTATCACCTTGATTCTTTGATGCCACATCCTCCTCGCTGCCTTTGCTCCCCTTGCCATCTGCAGAAAGTGATCTCTGGCAAATGGCATTCATAGCTTCCTTCTCTTCACTTGAATTTTTCAGCTGTGCAACTTGAGATTCTAGTTCCTCTATATACTTATCACTTCGTTCCAGGGCTTTCTTGAGGCGATTCGTTTCACGTTCATACTGTTCTACTTTGGACTGAAGAGCTGCAACTGTAAACCTTCCAAACCTACAAAGAATGAAAGGACAGTTAATTTTACAGCTCAAGTTTTTTTTCTTTTCAAAGTTTAAGAGTACAAATTGTCCCAGCCCATTCTAATTCCACATAACAATGACATTTCAAACCACTTGGTGAATAGGGCAAATGCCAGATGTAATATCTTCAAAAAAGGGTTTCCTCACTTATATAATAATAAGCATGTGATAATAATAGCGAAAATCTAATAGGGTATTTTGTGGTGGAATCAGAATAGTGGTAGCATAGAGGCAGAAACACGCAGAAGATTTTTCTTCGAAGAGCTAGCTCTACAATTCAGCTCATATATGCATGAGAGTTATCCCCTAAAACAATGGCAAAGATTTATGATAACATTTGAACAGTGGTCTACATCTTGAAATATTTACATTCAATCATTTTCCTACCGTACAGCAGTGTTTTACAATACATTTCTTATACAATGTCACCTTGTCAAACATAAAATGCCAATTTGAAATTCAGAAATCTTAGCAGTCCCAGGAAGGGTGGTTTTAAATACTTATTTGGACCCTTTCGATTACAGCCACCCTTGATCTGAAGCTTTTCGTTGGCCTTTCTGAGCACTGGGCTTTAATTCATTTCAGCTCTACTTATTTTTGGCATTTTACAGCTGTATGGGACATCAATCTCATTTCTTCCAACTTTGAAATACAAAGTCAGTGCTTGTGGTTCCAATATACTACACATAAAAACATTTTTATATTTTCTGAATGGGAACATTTTGGAGAGTGACTTAGAAAGAACATATCAAAAATTCACTCCTTTTATCTGGGATTATCTTGTTTTCATTATTCTGTCAAGAATGGGGACTGGGTTCAGCTCAGAAAATTTCTGAGTACCTAATATAGGTTAGGTGGTATATTTGGGGCTGGAAACACAAAGATAAAAAAGACTGTCCCAGCTCCAAGAGACATAAAATACCTACCTTAAATTCTATCTTATCACTAAGGAAAATTCCATCTTTCAGGAAACAACTTCTTATGAGCCAATAAACATAAGCCTTACATTCTAACCCCATGAAAAATATCTTCTTTCCCCCAAAGTTCTTTTCAAAAGCCTTTTCTTAATCATTTCTTTGATAACTTATGTATGGACCTATCTCAAAGAATTCAGGGACTGTCTATTTGTAGTAAGGTACTTGAGAAGATTACTTCTAAAAACTGTTTTTATCTTTGGGTTTGTCTTTTTCTTCCTCCCCCCCATTATAAAAATAATTACAATTAATAACATTTATTAAGTATTTTTAAAAAATTACAAGGGAGCAGAAGGTGCCAACAGTAACTGCAGCTTTTAGAATCAACTAAAACATGTTTTAGACTCCCATTTAATTCCCATCACCTCCTAAACCCCTAGCCCAATTCACTTTCCACTTCAGCCTTGACAAGATCCTGCTCTATTATCACTGAAGGAAAAAAGCCGAGGCAAATGTAAATATAGAATCATAAAATTTCAAGATTAGAAAGGGCTTTAAAGACATGATTGCTGAATATTGATCTACTCACTTCAATTAACTGAACCCCGAGAGAGTACACTCCCCTCAACTTCTAAAAAAACAAAGCAAAAACCATAGGTATTATAAAAAACAAAAGCAACTACAATAAAAAGCCTCCCCATTTTTAAAGATGAAGTTTATTATTGTATTTGTTTAAATGAATGATAGAAATTTTTCTTCTTTGTTAAAAATGTTTTGTAATGTTTGTAATGTCGTGCTTGACAGAGCTGTAGTTCTACAAGAGAACTTTTTAAAAAAGTGAACAAAGACCTTTTTACATGCATCAAGCAAAAAATGTTTGTTGAGTTCTTGATTGTAACTATTCTTGCATAATCAAATAACCCCCATGTTTTTAAATGGAAAAACTGTGTAGCATGTTTATTTAATGCAAATAGCAAAAGTGACAGCCTTACATTTGCTTACCAAGATAAAATTTTTCTTTTTTTACAGCACAATTTTTGTAATAAAGATATCCTCACACATGAAAAATAAAATGACTTAAAATCAAATAATGCCACTAGATAGTAAGTCAGCTGCTACCAAAGGATGTCCTTGGGAACTCAGAGGCCTACATAAGAAAAAATTAGGGACAAATAAGGAATGCTTGCCAAAACATTAGCAGCTTTTTGTTCCAGATTTTAGCTTAGAATTTCAAACATAGTACCATTTTAAGACACTGTATTTGCCCCTGTTTTTTATTTTTTTTTACAGGGCACACCATTCCTGGAGGTACTTCAATACCAAGTCGACGCATGAAATGGACAGAACAAGCTCCTACTCCAACTCCCTGCTCCAGAAATCCATTTAATATATTGTCCTTGGATAGAGGATGTATCAGATATTAAACTGATAAGAAAAAATACTATATTTGATCTTAGCCAAAAGTCTGAGAAGAAATTAATTATTTTTAAAAGAAGTAACAAATAGTTCCGAGTTGAAGTCAGTGATAGCTCTAACCATATTTTTTATGTTAATTCAGAGAGAGAGCTGCAGGAGAACTAAGAACAAAGGTTAGTAACAGAGCACACATGAGAGGGACAAGTAAGTAGAAATCATTGATAGAGTTAGGCTGTTTTCTAAAAGGTCATTGCCCTCAATTCCCCAAAGTTCTATTTCAATACTTTACAAGTCTATAATACTTTGAATGATCAGACTTTTTTACCATTCTAATAAAGGACCTGTCCTGGTGGGCAAACTGACAGAAATGTATACTAAAAGCCATGGAACTGATCAATTAATTAATCATTCCATATAATTTATTTGTTTTCTGTCTCTCTTCCCCATCAGAATAGAAAGTCATGGAGAGCAGAGAGTCTTATATTCGCTGCTAGGTCCCCAGAACAATTCCTGGTATATAACAGCTCCTTGTTAAATACTTCTTGAATAAGCGTCCTTTTCTTACTTTAAGATACATTACTGCCTTACATTAAGACAGAGTAGATATCATAGAATAGGATAAAGGTTCTTGGTCCTCTTTAACATGTAAAATAGTATGACATTCACTACATTATTAAACATTTAAACATGTTTCACACATTTGGCTGTCTCCTTTTTCACTGACACCAAGGAAGGCAACAGAGACTGACATATATATAGTACAGCTTTTTAACTACAGGCTTGACATTCTATACTACTCCATCCAAAAAAACTTCCATTTTCACTTTAGTAAAAGACCACAAATAGATGAAACTTTTGACATAGGTGTTAATAGATTTTTGGCTTATCGAAAATACCTATATTAGATTTGGCAAAAGGCAATTTACTTTATCATATAGAAATAACACTTAGGGATATATATCTGATGCTATAGTTCCACAGAAGCCAATGAGAATAAGAGCTTATTTATCTTTGGGTTTTAATACTCTTGTAGTCACACTAATTCCAGATATTTCCACAAAACATTAGATGAAGCAATGCCAAGGCAAGCCGGAGGGATTTCTAATATCATTTACCATACTTCCTTTTCCTGAGCAAATTTCAAAATGGAGTATTTTTATAAACATTCCATTAGAGACCAAAAGGCTTTGATTTTCAAAGTAGGAGTGATGGCCAAGGCTTCATTATGCCAGAGAAAACATTATAGAGCAGTTCGGGAGCTGCAGCTGATATTGGAAGCGTAGTCCACTAAAATCTATCAGAAGCTTAAAGGATTTTTTAGCTTGCAGTGTTAACTGAAGTATATGTTCTGGATGAGAGAAAAGGATGAGGGTTCTCCTTGTCTAAACAGCTAAAGTGATATAAAATTGTTCCTGTCCCTACTAGAAGAGAGAAATAAAAGTGCCATTGGTTTGACTTTCGGGGTACTATAACTAGAGTAACAACACCTCTACCAACAAAAACATTCCTGAGACCACATTTTCTCATGGCCCATCACAAAGGAAGAACAGGATATATTTGAAAGGGGTCAGAAGAAAGCAAATGTAAAAGAATAAATGCCAGAACTGAGTATCAAAAAAAACTAAGCTTTAGTGCTATGCTGCTTGCTGTTAACTAGTTGTGAAATCTTGAGCAATTCACTTTGCTTCTCTGGTTCTCAATGATAACTCCAATAAAAGGGATAAAGGCAGCAAGCCCAGTGGGTGGCCAAGACTACCAAACTTCAGAAACACCTCCTTGAAAAACAAGGAAGACACTGGGGATTGAGCGACTCCTCATGAATCTTTGATTTGATATCTTTTCCTTACTTGCTAGCTAAGGTAATAATGAAACAAAGTGAAAACAATCTTTAGACCTGGACCAGCTTTTGTGGTCTAGCCTATCTGATAGGTTTTCAGTGAACTTTGGATAAAACTTACCAAGAATAAGCATAATATGTAATTTTTTTTTTAGTCTTTTAGCTTTTTTTTTTTTAGAGACGGGGTCTTATTCTTGCTCAGGCTGGTCTTGAACTCCTAACCTGAAGTGATCCTCCCACCTCGGCATCCCAGAGTGCTAGGATTATAGGTCTGACCCACCATGGCTGGCTGTAACGTGTAAATTTTAACAGTAGTCTAAGTGACTACTATTGACTGATGATGACAATATGAACAGCAGCAGCCATAACTTATTGAGTGTTTACCTGGTATTAAGTACATTGTTATATGCTTGAGACACATTATCCCATTTAATCTTATCAACATTATGAAGCAAGACCCATTATTCTTATTTTAAAGATGAGAAATGAGAAGCTTAAAAAGAATTAAGCAGAAGGAATGGGATTTGAATCCAAGTCTTTCTGACTCCAAATGCCATGTATGAAACCATATCAAATACCTGAACATGAGATCCCTTCTTGTACTTCATTATCAAAATGCAAGCCAGATTTACTGAGCAGAAAGTCTGTGGACACTAGTCAGTTGGCTAGCATTATTGTACTACTTATTAATATATACATTTGCTAATAAAAACAGAGAGGAAAAAAGAAAATTGTAAGAAGACATATAGATATGTATGCACAAAGTCAATGTATATTTATTAAACAACTACTATGTTCTAGGCACAA